CTTATGGGATTGCTAACTAGACAAACAAAATAAACACTATTTGTGAGAAATGTGCTTTTCTATTTCCTTTATCCTCAACACACTCAAAATGATTTTTTTCTTATTTCTTCTTAAATAGTTTTCTGTAAATTTGATAGGAATATGTTTGTAAAATTCTGTAAATTAAATTGTTCAGGATCAAAGACTTCTTTCTGGTTAACACATTCTTTTTAAAATGCAAAATGCAACCTTGGGTGTGTTATTACTTTGGAATTTGTGTTAAATGTTAGTTTTAATGTAATCATTTATTGTAGAGAATTAAGCTCTTCCAAATGAATGCCTAAAGTTAAAATATCTAAAACAAGTCTGGAGAGTATACCCATACTATTAGATGATAAAGATACAAATTAGAACTTCTGTGTGGTGATGAATGCAGGCACTATTTTTAAATGAATATTGTTCTGATCATTTGTCATTTAAAATAAAATCAAAACATCACGTATCTTCAAATATTTTAAAAATGTGATATAAACTACTAAAACCAAAACTTCTTTTTAGCAAAACACTGGAAAACTTAGCAAACATTTCTGACTGGCTCCCTGTTTATAATTTGAATGCTAGGAAATCTATGCTTTTAATCCTATCTAGCCATGTTTCTTTCTACTCATTTTTAAACATTTTTTTTTTCAGGCATACAAAGAAAAGAGCCATATGTTTTTAACATCCTTTTATCTAAGAAGCTTGGTAGTATGCAGCTCAGTGTATTATTGTAAGTGTATTCAAAACATAGGCTTGCTCCTGTCTGTCTGAATGGATTATAAGCAGACATTTACATAGTGCTTCTATATCACTTCACAGTGCCACAGCAAGAGAATGATTAGGGTCCTTGCCCACATGTTAGTCATGTTTTCACGTGTGCCTCGTCCTTAACATCAAGAAGTGGTAGCAATTTGAAAAGCTTATGAGGTCTAAGAAGAAATGGCCTAGAGCATCATTTAATAGCTATATCCAGAGACATGATCGGTTCCTAATTTTGATACATTGTGGGTTGGGATTCAACCTTTCTCTTAAGTGTAAAAATATAAATATGATCGGATGTGATGAGGCATGCCTTTAATCCCAGCACTTGGGAGGCAGAGGCAAGCGGATCTCTGTGAGTTCAAGGCCACCCTGGTCTACATAATGAGTTCCAGGACAGCTGGTGCTACAGGGAGACCCTGTCTCAAAAAGACCAAAAAAAAGAACTCTCTAAGCCCACCCCCAGTGACATGCTTCCTCCAACATGGCCACACCATCTAAGACACGCACCCCCACCCCCTTCAAAGTATAGATACATGCATCTAATCATTTTTATTTAATTAACTGAATTATTTATTTAGTTGGCTTATTTTGAGTATGATTCCTGAAATTTCAAAGGATAACCTGAACAGTGCTGGTATGACTGTTCTAGAAATATACTAATTAAGACTCATTATTTATTATTTTGAAAATAACAGGCCATTTGAAAATGACCTTAGGATTTATTGAACTTTTTAATGTTTATTTAATTTTCCATAACTGTCTGAATGCAGAGCCCTCTAATATGCCTCAGGAGAAGTGATTATTATGTTATGGAAAAAATTTAAGGTATGTGGCCTCTACGTAGATTTTCATTTTATGATTGGCTTCATTTACAGAGACTGATATCATATTTTCTGCTATCTGTATTAAGTTTGGTTTTATATTTATCACATAGGGAAATGTTTTCTTGGCTTTTTAATTCTTAAAAAGGAGGTGTGAAGAATCTATGCCACTAAACAGGCTACACAGCTCTTAGCTTAACACATGCCATGCCATAGCCAAGAGATTTTGTTTCAAAGTTTCTTTGAAGATAGTGTGGAGTTTCTTAAATAATAGAGAAGCAACTAGGGGAGTAATTAAGATGCATGATACTTAGGAGAAAATAATATCTGCATATACTCACTGTTGGTTTAAAAGCATGTACGTTAAAGCCAGTTTATCCTTCAGAAATTGTAAGTGAACAATAAGCATTTCAGTTAATATTTAATACTGTGGTCTTGAGGGGTAATAAGCAAATGTTTTTGAGTTTCTTTAAATTGAGATTTGATTTTGTCACCAGGCAGCCGAGCTTGCTAGTGGTCTAATGGGACTCAGTAAAACTGTAGCACTGTACAATGATGTGAACTTTGTGAAATTGATCAGCACCACCATGCTTATACCTAGTATGGTACCTAATAAAATGTTGGAAATAGTTGGCTTTTCTAGTAAAAGTGTACTAGTTAGCTAATAAGATTGACTTTCTTTTCCCCCAAAATAATTTCTTTTACAAATTCTTGAATTTTTCATGTATAAATAGATCAGAAATTGTTTCATTCTTAAATGATGTATATATACTATATTTTCAATACAACTTTTACACTTCTTTCAGCTACCAAAATTTTGCAACCATTTTTACATGAAATTTACATTTTTCTTATATACAGTTATTTGTAAATGTTATTGCAAAACTAGTTGTGCAAATAGTTTACACTGTCAATACTACATACCAATCTTTGAAGAAAATATTTGCTGAAAAATAAATATTTCTGCACAGGGTATTTCAAAAGCATCATGAGTCCATGCTACATTGTGTGCATAATGACTACAAAGTAGTATGTGTTTTGGTAGTTGTTTCGCTTTTGTTTAAAGCATTCCAGAGTGCTATGTACTGGGTAGGGATGAGCTTCTTCATATCAGATGACTGGCATTTTCACGAGTCCACACACCTTTTTAAAAATACCTTATTCATTAACTGGCAAGCCTTCTGGTGTAATATATTTTCTCATCAAAATTTCATCTGTAAAAAGGTAATGTGCCTTTCATTAAAATCACTGGGAACTTAAGAGATAAATAAGGAATTCTCAACATTTCTATTATATTTCTTTAACATTTGGGAGAAGGGTGCTGTTCTAGCTTGCTTCTCCATTGCTGTGACAAAATACCCTGACCAGTACCAACTTGGGGAGGAAAGGATTTATTGGTTCATGTCTCCAGGGTCACAGTTCATCAGGGAGCCCAAGGAAGGAACGCGGGGCAGGAACCTGGAGTTAGGAGTTAGGAGCTGAAGCACAGGCCATGGAGGAATGCTGCCTACTGGCTTGCTCCCCTGGCCCCTGCTCAGCCTGCTTTCTTATACAATACAGGACTACCTGCCCAGGGGTGGCACTGCCCACAGTGGGCCAAGCTCACCCACATCACCCAAAAATCAAGAAAATACCCCACAGTCATGGCCACAGGCAGTTCTCCAATTGAGGTTCCCTCTACCCAGGTGTGTCAAGTTGACAACTAAAGCTGTCCAGCACAGGTACCATGCCATTTCAAGGCTGTTCTAATCCTAGATCATTTGAGGAGATTGCTGGAAGAGCTAAGTACACGATTACTGATTCTCCAATTTTCCTCCTAATTAAGTATAAGGAGCACAGTGTGGACTTTTCTTATGT